GGGGGGGAGGACATTGTTAGAATAGCTATTTTCTACAGAATTCGGCCAGAAAGGTTTCTGCAAGCACATTTTAAATGAAAGTGAACATTAGGTACACTAACAAAAAGCTTGCATCAATCAGTTCCACTGGATTTCCTTCTCCCATCCCAGCTTTCAGTCTAGTTTACGTTTCAATGGTGAATATATGTATTCACACACACACAAAAGATAGCATTCCAGAACTAAACCTTGGGACACGTCAAAAGTGAGAGCCGGTAACTCTTTCCTTCTTCCCAGCACATCCTGAAAACATTTAGTCAAGGGTGAGGAAAACATTGATTCCTGCTATCTTTTTAAGCTCTGCGCAGAAAAATACCACCTAACTCTTATAAGAGCTGCTAAAGAAAGCTAGGCCAAAAAAACAAAGCAAAAACAATTAAACTGAGTGCCTATATCAATGGCAAAAGGCAAATGACCAAACTGCAACTTGTAATAGTTTGCTGGTGTTTTAGGAATATATTCAAACTTTTCATAAATTTATTTTCCTATATCCTCCTTCATGTAACTGAGCAGCAAATAGACTGCATGTTCTTTTACTCCACATCTTTTCTCTAGTGGCTTTTGGCAAGCTCATGTAGAGATCAAGCCAAGCAAAAGGCAGCTCTAGACCCTTTCTACTATGCCAACCAAGGTCCCAAGTAATCATTTCACCTCTACTCCACGTGGCAACCATCCACTCCAAATGGATGACACACTCAAGACATGAAAACACGCATGAATGCTTTCTTCACCATGCCTGGGCAATTATTATATCTTTCCAACAATGTGCTGTTGTAATTTTGCTACTAAATGAAACGGTAGTCACGTCATTTAATACCCTTTTGTGCAGTCAATAACATTCTTAATCTGTAACCCACCCAACAGGACTATAATCTACTCTGGTTCAAACATGTTAAAACAAAAAACAAAAAATGGCTCAAAAACTGAAAACAAGACTACCTCTGCCAAGTTCCTGACACAGTCATGTTTGCAGTGACACCTTCCTTAGCCACACAGTAACCTTTTAGCACTATCTGACTTAAAAAGAAGTTGACAAAATTTGACTCGTGGCCTGCTGCTAACTGATAAAGTGCCAACAAATGCTGAAGCTGAATATTCTATTCCCATTCAATAATTTTAACTAACAACCAAAAGAATTTAAAAAAAACAAAACACCCATACACTTAAAGATTTCTTAAAGGAACCATAATGGACTCTTTCTTATTTCCACCAAGAAAAAGTAAAATCATTCTCTTTACATTGAAGGCCCAAATGAATATGCTAGAATTAATTTATTTTTGTACTATGTGTATTTTATAGGATGGATTAAAAAGAGAGAAAGAGAACACCTTCCACTTCTCCACTCTGCATCTGTTAAAGAAAATAGCCTCATACCAAACCATGGTAACTGATCCCTATGAACGATCCTAGTTGTACCCTCATCACCTCAATAGGAAACAATAGGATGCTAGAGGTAAATCTTTAAGCAGCTGGAACTGTGAATAATAATAATTAAATAAATAAATAAATACTACTTTGCATGTCCTGTAGTGCTTAACCTTTTAAAAGTGCTGTACCCAATTAACATATTAAACAACCTTCTTATGCAAAGTATCCCATCTTTCTGGGTCTACTCACATCCAGCAAGCATTTAACAATCTTTTCAGTCTTCCACATTATATTGTGAGCTTCTAGCTCACATCATACTGAATTTGAACTTGTGTGATAATGACCACTGCCTCACTTGCTATAACAGGATGTTCAATACCTTAAAAAAAGAGATACCCTTTATTTAGCAACAGGAAAAGACTTACATTTCTAGGAGCTCCAGCTTCTAGGTTTTAAGGCAAGCAAAGATTAGGGGGAGTTGTAAAACTAGTATAATGTTAATCTCCACTTTATTCCCAGCCATGGAAAAGCAGGATCCTTTGTCTCTAAAAGGGAATTTCATATTTATTGGCGCAGCTCAGATGCCACTGCTGTTATTATCAAGCACACATACTGTCAACAAAACAAAAAGCAAGACCACCTACTTTTGAGACATGAAAACAGTAAAGCAATCTCTAACCTGTCTCTTAAATTTTGCCTCCTGTACTTGTCAAGATTATTATAAATCACAAGGTATTTATTGCTGTTTTATCACACAGTAATGATAAAGTTTAATAGAATTTATTTTATAATTTTGGAGTCTCCTCTGAAAAGCCAAGCTTGTTCTCAATAGCATGACATTGGCTAAATCTAGCAAAGGTTTCTTATTTCAAAGAAGGAAAGTAATCAAAGGACTACAAAGGTCGCATGATGTATTTTTCAGGCTGCTTTACATAAGTAAGATTTTGCATTTAAGATTTGTCTCATTGCTGACCCTTACCGTTTGCGTCTTCAAAGCCCATACTTTATCATTTTATTCAGCATTTAGTTAAATATTTAAAATTGAAGATGTTCTATGTTGCAAGCACAGCTAAAATGAAAGGCCTCTGTGGCAGCAGTGACCAGATTTTAAATGCAGGTAGATCAATAAAAAAAAAAGGAGCTCAAGCACAGGCTCCATGTGTGAGTGGAATGGTTTATAATAGCTTGCAAATGACTATGTGCTTGCTGTAACCAGCTGTTCTTAAATTATGAATATGCAACCAATTCATGTTAAAGCCAAATCCCAGTGCTATTTCTACAGAGAAATCCCAGTAGTTTTTGCTTGTTCTACATGTTAGCTCTGTTAAGGATACAAATAGCAGTAAGCTTCAGAACAAATAGGACCAAACTATTGGCATTTCATGCACTAGGTCCATTATCACAGCAGGGGATGTCAATCACTGGAACATTCCTATAACAGCTCAGGCAATATGACAATGATCTCTCAGAAAAAAAAATCAAAATCTCTGCAGCGTACTCAAAGTCCCTCTGTCAACCTAATGCTTTTTTGCTTCAGCCAATCAGATTGTCAGCCCTGACCTACTAGAAGGCTTGCATCAAGCTTCAAACATTTAAAAACATCAATCATAAAAACAAAGACAGGACATTGAATTATACAGTATTAACCTCCAGGGTTTGCATACAAAGACCTTAGATTTATTTATGTCCCAGCGCGTTAAGAGCTTCAGTACACCGTTCTTTACACCAAACCGGCTGCCAATTTGATGAACCTCTCTGCCCTCAGCAGGAGTGCAACGTCTTTGATTAATGAGTGCACGCTTGTGGAAAAGTGTAAGAACAGAAAACAGGGTAAAAAACACACAATTATGTCTCTACACATCCACTGGACCTATGCAATAATTATCTTCAAGCAAGATTTCTCTTTTACAAGAAAGGAATGAGGCTTTTTGTATTATGTATATTAATTTAATACATTCTACCATTATACTAATCTCTTAACATAATATTCTATTAAATGCAAATGTCATCTTGAATAAAGCATTAGTTTAAAGCAAAAATATTAAAATTCAGCATAACAGAGTCACTATCTAAATAAGGGCATAACTTCTGATTGTTATAAACATATGCAAAGTGATTTAAATTATCTAAGCAATGTCTTTTTTTAGGTTTACATTCACACCCAAGTCTAATGATTGAAAAGCTCAAAACCAACTGAACTAGTCTGCCCTCCCCTCCTAAATGTCACTATATAATCATTAATGAAAAATAAAAATATTCCTAACCCGATCCAATACTACAAACTACAATTCCTTAGAGTTTAACTTTAACAATGACATATTTTATAGTAAATTTTATTTTAGTATCTGAATACTGAATACTATTTGCAACAAATCAAGCGATAATAAGGTCAGAAATATATCCAACATGGAAAAACCCAGGGAAAGGGAGGCGGGGGAAACAAAAAGAATATATAGACTTATTTGATGGATAGGTTACCCAGTTGTTTTTAAGCAAAATTTTATTTTAGAATGCATTTAAGCATTTCTTTAGTCCTAAGAATTTGAGGTTTGTTTGTTTTTAAAAATCCATACACATACATTTTATCATGCAAACACTACTGTGGAAGTTCACATCAGCTTCACAACTGGGAGAAATCCCATTGGCTTGGATTGAGTCCACATTTTGGGTAGTGCCCTCACATTTTTGGTTTAATTTTTATGTTCAGCACCATTCCCTCACAGAGGTGAGAAACATTTCTGCACATGGCTCTAAGCTATTCAGGCTTAACCCATTCAGCTGCTTCCACTGTATGACCCAAATCAGATGAATAGGGAGTTTTATGTCTTGTCCAACTAGGAACCAGGAAATCTTGACAAGCAAGGCGAGAGTTTACACACTAATAGAAACTAGCACCTACCTTCTGTGAGAATTAAAAGGAACCCTGTGAATTTCAAAACCTAGGTTTTTTAAGGTAGTTTCAGAAACAATATCTCCCTGGGAGTCCTCTTGCCAAAATATTTTTCTTTTCTAGTTGCTGTTTGAAAAAGCCCATACAAACAAGAGAAGGGACTTATTTTAGTAAACGTAAAGTTAAAAGAAAACATTATTTCTCTAATCTCTTTCATTTACAAGTACCTAAACATATTTCTTATAGTTATATGGGAGGGGAGGGGATTTTTCAGTGACAGTTCATTTAAACTGTTGGTCTCACTAATAATATAAAAAAAGACTGGCATTTTAAAATTCTCATCAGTTTAAAGAAAACCCAAGAAAACTGAAGCTACTCATGCTCTGCCTACAATTAAGTTTCAGAGAAAACTTGTATGTAATGCAAAAAGTTAGTTTATAGTTCACTATCCAACAACACTAATTATAAACTGCCCTTGACTGAACCAATCACCCCATCCCACGCCCAAAACAAATTCTTGCGCACACACACATATGGAGAGCCACTAACAAAAAAAAAAAAAAAAAAAAAAGACTTGTCTAGTGTTTTCACGACCCTTCATATATTGTACATTATTTTATAACAGTCATTGATGCTGGATATGAACACTTTAGATTAAAACTATAAGTAAAAATATTCAGAATAATCAAAATATCCCACTTACATTGGGCATTATAAAAAGAGACTGAATGTAAGCTCCAACCTCAGTCCTTCAAAGGCTTACGCATAGTCTTGACTTTACACATAACAAGCATGCTAGATCACATGCAAGTTTTGTTTCTAAGAGAAACATGACCACCACGCTGAGGTGGTTCTTTCCCTCAAGTCTGCCACTGACTTACTGCAATGGCCTTGAATAAGTCATTTAACTTCTCTGTACCTCAGTTTTCCCTGTCTGTAAAACAGCTTCATAAAGCTCTCAAAAGCCAAGCTAAAAATGTGTGAAGTATTAAATCTGATTTACAACAGCGTCTCTCTCATGCAACCCATCGGTGACTCCTTTGCTATTTCTGATTGCATGAGAAAAACTAGGTAACAAAAAAGAAAAGATTTAATTTTTCCAAGCTGATCTGACTGCTTTTCTATTACTGTTTCCATGACTTTACCCTAAAAGTAAACATGAAAGATGTCCAGACACCTACAACCCACTTAAGTAATGACATCAAAGCAGATTTTCCATTTATAACTACCACAACATTAACCAGAATAGAATCATGTGCAGGGAAAATATTAGTATAATTGAAATTTTACAAACTAGGCGCATAATTTGTGCTGAATAAAGTTTGTGATCATTTCTGTAATTGTTTTTTGGGGGGAAGAGAGGAAAAATCAATTTTAGTTATGTTCTGTACTGATATTTAAGAGTCTGCATTGTCCTGTATACACTTTAAAGAGTGTAATTTATTTGCATTACATTGTTTTGTCACTGTTCAGACTGCTCCATTCTACAAGATAATTCTGAAATATACTGTTGTCTCTCTTCTCATTAACTTTGCCAGTGCTTCTCTTGACTGCTCCCTCGTAGTATTAAAAAAAGGTCACAGACTTGCTTATAAAACCATTTAATATCATTGACTGAAATGAACTATAGAAAAGTACAATGAAATTTGAGGTTCAGTTTACATTCAGGGGCACACCCTACTGGCTTTAGGTAGTCATCCCATTGACTTCATTTGGCCAACTCACCTGAGTGAGGCAAGAACTACTTTTCGTCAGGGTTTTTGTTATATTAAAGTTATGCATTAAAAAAAAGAAACAAACAAGTATATGCTACAGGTCTTTTTTCCTACTATACTGTTTTTTTAAGATTAAATCTCTACTGAAATCAATAATATCTTATAATATCACGTAGCCATAAGCACATATTTTATTACAAAAGAACCTAGTTTTTAGGAGGCTTTTGGGGGGGGGGGGGGGGGTATTTTGCCTTTAGTGCTTTTAGAATTTAACACCCCTTGTGCACTAGGAATAAATCTTGATAAGTAACTTCAGCTCTGGACTAGCATTTCCATGCCTGCTTGCATAGTAAATTGCAATTCTAGTTTTGCTAAGTCTAGGTCAGTAACTCAGATATCCTAATCCCAGATATGCCATAATAAGGATATTGTAAATCTAAAAGCAGTCAAGAATTAACACATCCTTCCACTAATTCAGAGAGATCACACAAAAAGCATGAACTTTCTTGCAACTGTGATATTCCACATCTTGTGTAGAACACAAAAGTAGCAACAAAGACATTAACAATTGAGGTTCAAGCTGGGAGTGACTGTTCTGTTTCAATTCAATGACACCACTAATGGCTTCTTAGCAGCTCCATGAAATCAACCAGCTGTCAAGTCGATGCATCAGAAGGAACAGTTAGGCACTCCCATAAGAAAAAGCAACACATCAGGATGTTTGGCAAAACATCTGCTCCTTTACACTGCAGTTCTATAATAAACATGCAAACAAAGAAATGAGAAAAAGGGCAGTGCACAACAAAAATCCAACACTGGTCTTACTTTCTTATGTGTATTTTAAAAAAAGGTCTTGTACAAACCCCCCCAAATTTTTAGTCTTGCAGCGTATTTTACCTTGCCATAAGGACGGTATACTAAATGTACCCATGTTTTTACACTGTGCAATACAAAAACTACTGTTCCTTTTTCTTATCATCTGCAGTGGTAAAGATGGCAAGGTTAAGAAACTACCTATTATAAGCAAAATTAACAGACATATATTTAGTAAACTTTATTACCAAAAACAGCTTTCCATGCTAATTTGCAATATAAACTGTGACCTTAATTGTGAGCTTAAGCAAATGCCATTTTGTTGGGTTATTCTCATGTAGCCAACTCCACAGACCGGTATTTATTTAAATTGAATCAGAAATATGAGTAGTGCAGTTCTACAGCTTATTGTCAATGCAGTTACTCACAGGAAGCTTAATCATGCCTTTAATTCAAAATAGCAGCAAGTCAATAAATAGCAAGAAACCATAACTTGATTCTCTAAAGAATTTTTTGCTCTCCAATGTATGTCCATTCACATAACTTTAACAGTGTCTCATTGTATAGGCTATCATTTTTTTAAAAGAATCAGTAAGTCCTATTAATTTTTTAAAAGGTTCCTGCTTGCCAAATTAGACTTATAATTACTTGGACACCAAAGAAGTCCCTTTAATACTTACAACTTGTACATACTGCCAATATTGAAAATGGTTTCAAATACAAATACAATTTGCTTGATGTTGCCTGGAAATTGTTCATGTAGCATTGTGACAAAAATGTGCGCACGGTTTACAATAGGTGCGAGACATCAAATATACTTAACTACCATTTTCTTAAACTGCTAATCCTCTGTTGCTCACCATTTATAATCTGCCAAATCTTCCAGGCCTTTGTTGCATGTATAATTTAGAACCATCTGTTCTACGTGCTTTTAACTATTTAAACATTTTCATCTACCTAAGATTCACATAACTGGCAGACATTTAATTCAGCTAGGCTTTCTAAAACACTTTTAAAGAACATGCTAAGGTGAGCAGCTGACATTTATTAACATAAAAACCTACTTTCTATGCAACCATAAAAATATGTTAAATATATCATTCAATTTTGAGTTTGCTAAAAAACATCTTGATGTACTAGGAAGTGTTCCTGTTAGTCTCTATGTTAATTGTAGTCAATGTTTTTACCAACCCTGAAGACAAAGGGAATGCAAATTAAACACAGACAGTTTCATGTTCTTGTAAGCATGACTGTAAATATGTAAAAAGTAAAACTGATGCAGGAAAAGGAATTAAAATATAACATTCTATTTATGGTACTTATTATTTATCAAGTAGTCAGGGTTTGCCTAAGTTTTGCCATGTGACCAAGAGAACTTCTATGAGATGAAGAGAGCATCACTGAGAAGTAATTTAAAAGAACAATACCTTTTATTGTTTCCCTTTTTGCAACAGCTGACACGAGAGCTGAGAGCCAGAGGTAATCGGTATTAAGAAAAATTCAATTTAGCATGCCAACTACATTTTGCTAGCCACAGAATCCAGCATCTGGAATATCCTCTGAAGTACTTGTAATATCTACAGGTACTTTCCAAAGGGAAATGTTTAGCCAGCACTACATTAAAAGAGTTTATTTGTTGCAAATATATATCTGAGTAATGAGCACTTAAAAAAAAAAAAAAAAAAGCATATTTCCCAGCCCCCTCACACCCAACCAGAGGCCAGGCACTCGCTACTTCGGGAAAAATCTGGACTGAACGTCTTGTGCAAATTTCAGTAAGAGGTGCAGGTAACCGCTTGTAAATAGTAGCATGGCTGATCCCCACATGATGTACTAGTTCATGTTGTGCCACAACTCTGGTTTTTTAAAGGGCTACATTAATATTTCTGTGCAAAAGGCCGCAAAAATGGAATAAAAGTGAGTCTCACGCAAAGATATTCCTCCACCTGTTACCAAAAAAAACCCAAAAACCCCACAGTGGAGGAGGAGGCGCCTTCCTTGCAGCCCCGGAGTCGGCAGAGTCGGACCCACGACCAACCTGTGCACGTCAAGTGCGGCCGCCCCGCGCGCCGGGGAGCCCGCCCTGGGCACCGCGCCGGGCTCCTGGAAAAATGCCCCTCCAACTTCAGGTGACGTCACAGTCGGGCCCTGGACCCGCCTCAACTTTGCGCCTTCCCCGCGGCTCCCGCAGCCGCTGCCTCGCGCCCCGCACACCACAGCGCAGCACAGCCGCGCCGCGCCGCGCCGGGCCACCCAAATTTGCCCAAGATGGCGAAAGGCTTGTTGTTTAGAGGGCAGAAAAATGGAGGATATTGTAATATACACAAAGGGATACATTTCAACAACTCGGCCAAGGGCTGCAGCCGCTTCTGGCTCTGCGCGAGGGAGCCGGGCGCGCACAAAGGAGAGCGGCAGGGGGGGGGGCGCGCC